CCGCACCGCGCTGCACCTTGCCATGGTGCTCCACGGGCATGGCACCCTGCACGGGGCTGCACCCTGCGCGGGGCTGCACCTTGCACGGGTGCTCCACGGGCATTGCACCTTGCACGGAGCTGCATCTTGCACGGACACTGCACCTTGCACGGGCGCCGCACGGACACCGCACCCTGCATGGGGCTGCACCTTGCACGGGTGCTCCACGGGCATTGCACCTTGCACGGAGCTGCATCTTGCACGGACACTGCACCTTGCACGGGCGCCGCACGGACACCGCACCCTGCATGGGGCTGCACCTTGCACGGGTGCTCCACGGGCATTGCACCTTGCACGGAGCTGCATCTTGCACGGACACTGCACCTTGCACGGGCGCCGCACGGACACCGCACCCTGCATGGGGCTGCACCTTGCACGGGTGCTCCACGGGCATTGCACCTTGCACGGAGCTGCATCTTGCACGGACACTGCACCTTGCACGGGCGCCGCACGGACACCGCACCCTGCATGGGGCTGCACCTTGCACGGGTGCTCCACGGGCATTGCACCTTGCACGGAGCTGCATCTTGCACGGACACTGCACCTTGCACGGGCGCCGCACGGACACCGCACCCTGCATGGGGCTGCACCTTGCACGGGTGCTCCACGGGCATTGCACCTTGCACGGAGCTGCATCTTGCACGGACACTGCACCTTGCACGGGCGCCGCACGGACACCGCACCCTGCATGGGGCTGCACCTTGCACGGGTGCTCCACGGGCATTGCACCTTGCACGGAGCTGCATCTTGCACGGACACTGCACCTTGCACGGGCGCCGCACGGACACCGCACCCTGCATGGGGCTGCACCTTGCACGGGTGCTCCACGGGCATTGCACCTTGCACGGAGCTGCATCATGCGCTTGCAGGAGTCACCGTGTGTTTGTAAGGGTCACCACGCGATTGCAACAGTCACCAAGCGCTTGCAAGAGTCACCGCGGGCTCACCAGGGTCACTGTGCTGCAGCCGGAGTCACTGTTACTGCAATGGTCACCGTGTCATTGCAGGAGTCACCGCGCGTTGCAGGGGTCCCCGTGCTGCAGCCAGAGTCACGGCGCTCTTGCAAGGGTCCCCATGCACTCGCAGGAGCCCCCGCGCGCTCGCGAGGGGCCCGGTGCTGCAGCGGGTCCCTGGGCAGCGGCAAGGGCTGCGGGGCTGCTGCGGGCACCCTGCTG